TGACGACTGCCAAATTGCCGGTAATGATGTGTCCCGTGGGGGGATACATGTTTGGAGATTCCGCGCATTTACACTGCATGCTGAGCCATCTGCTTAGTTCCTGAGCATTAGAGTTTAACCCATCCAGGAATCTACTGTGATTGACAAGCCGACGTCCTATCGGTGGATTGTATTTGTAGCTTATGAAGATTTTAGGAAAGGGCTGGTAGGGGAAAAGACGTCTAGCAGTTGTGTTATGGAAAAAAGATTTGAGGTAGAGCTTTTCGAAATCCCTACCGGGATGTTTTATGCAAAAATACGTGGGATCGGATTGTCGTTGAGGGGGAACCGTAGCGTGTAGCCGATTGAGAAGAAATCCTTGAAGTATGCAATTAGTTTGGAATGGAGGTGGATCATGTACGATTCAGTTCCTCAAGACGCTAAGGGTTTTGTGATTGCATTTATAGAGCCTGTGAAGCAGGTCTTGAATTGCAAAGGGGGTGCTAACGTCACACTGAAGTGCATAGTCAGTTAGGTCGTGATCAATGCGCCTGTTTCTGCGTTTCCGAACGCCGTGACGGTGTTTTTTCCTGGGCAGGGAGGTCTGAAGATAAGGGTTTTTATTCAACGTGAAAAGAAAGAGTCCGTCCAAAATATTCCCAAGTTCAAAATGTTATCGTTAAGCCCAAATGGATAGACAGTGTTGATTGCACTAATCCAAAATAACTCACGTTGATGGAAGGTGGCCCTGGAGGTGTCCACTTTCTCAATGATTTCTATACCCATAGCCTCAGGTCCGCGTCCAGGCGGTTGAAAATGGTTACATAGTATCGTACTTGTTTTTTTAATCACGCTGGCCCTATGCTCTCTTGCACGGTTCTGTAGGGTTCTTTGAGTTTGGCCGATATACTGCATCCGACAAATTTTACACGTTATCATATAAACTATAGTTCTAGTTATGCGTTTCTACATATATGCAAATGCGAAAACGCATATTGTGACGACCTCGGTGTGTGTGTGTGTGTGTGTGTGTGTGTGTGTG